CCCCCCCCCCGGCCCCGGCCCCGGCCCCGGCCCCGGGTCATGCCTTGCCTCTGCGACATGATCGCTCGCAGATCTACGCCGCGGTGTCGGCCCGATCGTTCGACTCGGAACCCAAGCGCCAGCGCTTCGCCTCCGGAGGCGTGTGGCTCCCGGCGGCCACGCTGCTGGAGTGCACTGCGCCATTGGCGGCGCCGGTGGGGCTCTTCGTTCCGCTGGCCGCCCTGGCCGGGGCCATGAAGAATGTCTCCTGGATCGCCACGAGTGCCGCGCGGGCACAGCTCCACCGGACAATGACCGCCACGCGCCGGACTGCCCTGCCAGGCAGCCACACTTCCGGGGGCGAGGGAACGGCCGATGGGGTGGCCCAAAACCTGGGCGATGTAACCGCCAAGGCCGGGGCGCAGACGACATCGGCGGCCACCATTGGCACAGGTGTCGGGGTCGGGGCCGGTGCCATTGTCCAGTGGCTGGCTTCCTCCTTCGAGAGTGCGTGCATCGGGCTCCGCAGGGCAACTCGCCGCATGGAGGCCGGGCAAGTGGGCCAGCCATGCATGCAAACACGCTTCGCACCCACGCACACACACACGCACACACACACGCACACACACACCCACGCACACACACACGCACACACACACACACACACACACACACACACACACACACACACACACACACACACGCACACACACACGCACACACACACGCACACACACACACACACACACACACACACACACACACACACACACCGAGGGCGAGGCCCCCAAGACACCATGTACACATCCCCATACTGACCTGCTCCCTTGCCATGTAGCCACCTTTGCCCTGTCTACTGGGCAGGCGGTGTCGGCCGCGACGCTGGCCGTCTGTGCGCCGCTGCTGGTGCTCAGCACATATGCCCTCTTCCGGTCCAATGCGTGTGTGGTGTTGGACAACCTGGATGAGCAGCGCTTCCGCCTGGCCATCGGCACCGGGCCGGCCAACTACCGCGCATCCAACCCCGGGCCCCGAGGACAAGGCCTCGAGTGGCTGGTGGCCCCGGTCCCGACGGTCCTCGGCCCGGCGGCCGTGGCCCGACTTGAGCGCTTTGTCCGGCCAGGGCACCTGGCCGACCGTCTTGCCGCCAGGGTGGACGTCAATCCCGATGTCAATCAGTGGTTCGATGATCAGGCTGACCCGGCAGACGCCTGGGCCCGGTGCTTCGGATCGGGCCAGGCCCCCTGCGATCGGCGGTACTTCTTGCATCTCCGGAGCCGGCCGCCGGCATTTGGCCGCGGCCGAGTGGGCCTGTGGCTGGATGCGGCGGCCGGCCCGGCGGATGTCTTCCGCGGCTACTTGCATGCGAGCCTCCTCGCCAAGGCGCTCGACTCGGCCGGCCCCAGCCCCACGGACGGGGGGGCCAAGCTGATTGCCGAGACCGCGGCCGTCCTGCCCCGGTGGCAGGCAGCCTTCCTGGCAGCCGGCTGGCGGCCGCCCAGCGAAGGCGCCGCCGCACATCTGGAGACTGACCCGACTCGCCGGGTGCATATTAATCGGTAGATTGCGCGTGTGCCTCCCCTGTGGGGGGATCCCCCTCCGGCCGTCTTGTGCTCCCGCGAGGCCGGGCGGGAGACTGGTGGCGGTCCCCGTCTGTGCGCAATGAACCGGGGGCACTCGCCCCGAAACGGTGGGCGAAGAGAATAAATAACAGAACCACATGGCAGTGTGCCCTGCCTTTCGGCAGCAAGTCAAAGACACCGCACTCAGACCCGTGGGGCGGGGGGGGGGGGGGGCGAAGCGGGGATCTGGGGCGCCCGCGCCATTAAAGGGGAGCCCCGACGCCGGGGCGTGATCCCAACGCACCTGCCCGCATGGTCGCGGCCCGCGCGTGTGCGCGTGCGCGTGGGCACCTCTGGCCGCTCCATCGTGGGCGGCCGCGGCAGGCCGGCCGAGAATCGCTGCCAGCGCGTAGGCAGCAGTTGCCAGGTCTTCTTCACGGCCTCTGCCCTGTCGCCCCCGCCCCCTTCCGCGCTGCTCCCCTCCCCGAGAATGGGGGCGCGTGTCCGGTCTGTCCACCCGCCGCGGAGGCGGGATCTCCCTCCACCCGGTCCAAAAGGGCCCGCAAACTATCTCCCCTCCTCCTGGCTCGTGCCATACCCCCTCCCCTACCCCCCTACCCCCTCCCCCCTTCCCCTCTGGCCCTTTGTTGAGCTCTTCCCGCTTCGCCTCCGCCTCTCCCGTCGCGCCTGCCCGCCCCTCAAGCCGGCGCCCGCAAACACCCTCCCTGTGCTCGGGTGGAGAGCGCCCTCCTCCTCCCACACACTCATACATACATACGCTAGGAAGTTCCTCTCTGATGAAGGCACCCAAGTATTCCCTCGACCGCATTGGTAGCCTCCATGAGAGCTCAACCAGGCCGGCCGCCGCGTGGGTGGCCGCTGCCAAGCATGGAATGCACCAGCTCACGGCCGCCAGCCCCGAGCACGGTCACCAGTCGCGCAACCCGCGGAAGCGCTCGCGCTTTAACCCGCCCGAGCCGGTGATCATCCCTCTCGGAGCCTCAGGCGCGGGATTCGCCCCGCCGGCGTCGACTTCGGTGCCGACGCCCCCCTCCAAGCAGCCGTCCTTCGCCGCAAGTGAAGGCGACTCGAATGACACCTCCGACAGCGACCATGACCAGGATGAGGCCTCCCCGTCTGCCAGCACCGACGAAACCATCGACCTGTCCGGCCTGGGCGGCGGGGATCTCACCATCGGCGGCCACGATCTGGTGGACTTGACTATGCTGAAAGTTGCGGCCACTGCGGCGAATGCCGCCGCCGCCGCCGCCGCCGCCACGGCTGCTGCCTCCTCCCCCAGAGACTCGGACAATTACATCAGTCTCCTGCCGCTGGAGGTGGATGCCCCGAGGTCTGTGTCTCGGCCAGGCCCCTCGGCCCGGTCAACAGCCTCCGGACGTGAAGACGGCTCGGCCCCGGCATCACAATCGATGCTCCCCTCGCGGGCGCCCATCTCTCAGCAGATTCCCCCCTGGCACCGGTCTCTCGGGACGGTCCCCTGCACGACGGCCTTCCAGCGCCAGTCTCGCGAGGGCCTCTTCTTGGCGCCGACCACCATCGGCCAGCCGTATTCCCCGACGCTGACCGGTCTGCTTCATGAAGAGATCCTGGACTTCTGCCAGCACATCTCCCCCACCCCGACTGAGCATACCCTCCGCCGATTGATCATTTCCAAGATTCGCCAAGTGGTCCTGTCCATCTGGCCCGATGCCCGCGTGCACATTTTTGGCAGCCACCAAACCCGGCTCTATTTGCCCTCTGGGTGCGTGGGGCCTGTGTGACCAGGGGCAATTTGTGCCCGCCTCCCATCTTCCCTCTCTCCATCTCCCCCCAAGAGGGGGGTCCCCCTTTGCCCTCCTCCCTTCTCGCATCACATTCCCCCGGGGGGGAATATGCATGTCCCCTTGTCTGACATTGCGGTGCCACACAGTGACATTGATCTGGTGGTCATGCTGCCGGAGTATCATCGCGTGCAAACCCCCCTCCGGCGCCTTAGCCGCATGTTGGAGACGTCTGGCATTGTGAAGAAGATGCAGCTCATCGAAAAGGCTCGAGTACGTGTCAAACACCTGTCTGCCATCGGGCTGCGGATGAGCGTGCTCCAAAGGGGGGGGCTTGTGCATATGGTTTTTCTCTGCCCACCCTCTCACGCGCCTGCCTCGCTCCCCCCTCTCCTCCTCGCCCGACTGCCCCGCCCCCAGGTGCCGATCATCAAGATGGTTGACCGGCTGGCCAATCTCAGCATCGACATCAGGTGCGCGGTGGGCTGCGTCCCCGGTTTTCAGCTCGCCCTTTTGTCACCCTGCCGGCCTGCATGTGTGCCTCATGCCTCCTAATCGCCACTCTCTCAGCTTCGACATGATTGGCGGTGTCAAAACCGCTTCCCTGGTCCAAGCCGCCCTGGATCTCTATCCCGGCACCCGGGAGTTGGTGCTGGTCATCAAGCAGTTCCTCACCCAGCGCGGCTGCAATGAAGTGTTCACCGGTGGCCTGAGCTCCTATGCGGTGACCCTCCTGGTGCTGAGCTTCTTCCAGGTACTTTTCCTCCTTTTTTTTTTCCCCCGGCCAGCCACACGAGCACGATACCCTTGCCGGCCGGTTGCACATGTGCTGATGATGATGTCCCACATCCCCTTTGGATTATCTTGCGTGGCCTTTGGTGCTCCTAGATGCACCCGCAATACCAGGCCGGCTTGGTGGACCCGAAGGACAATCTCGGCCTGGCGCTCATCGAATTCATGGAGCTCTATGGTCGGTCTTTCAATCAGGAGGCCATCGGCATTTGTGTCCGTGAGGGTGGCTCTTATTACCGGAAGGTGCGCGAAGCCCGTCATTGTCCATGCGACATATCATGCTCGCTGGCAGGACTGACGCCAGCTGCTGGCTCTTCTCTCTCTCTCTCTTCCTCTCTCTCTCTCTTCCTCTCTCTCTCTTCCTCTCTCTCTCTTCCTCTCTCTCTCTCTCTTCCTCTCCTCGCTTTCTTTCCTTCTCTCTCTCACCTCCATTGAACCCGCTGACTGAACGCCTCCCCCCTCTCCTTCCTCTCCCTCCATTCCCCTCGCTGCCCTCTTCCTTCACTCCAAATAGCACCCTCGTGGCTGGGTGGATCGTCGAAATGCGGATCTCTTCTCGCTCGAAGATCCGCAAGACGACTCGAATGACGTTTCACGCGGGTCATACAACTCTGGCACCATTCGCATGGCTTTCGAGCATGGTGCGTCTGCTGACCCCTTTCCAGTGGAGATCTTCCCCCCCCCCCCCCCCCCCCCCCCGACCCACCCTTCTACTCCCTTCGCCTCTTACAGCAACACGTGCATCGATTGCCCCTCGCTCGTCCACTGACCCTCCTCTTGACATAGCGTTCGAGACCCTCACAGCGGAAATCCAGCGCTTTTCGAACCAGACCAGCAAAGCTCCTCCGGGCTACTCTCTGCTCCATCGGATCATCCAGTGCGTTGATGTTCACATGCTTCGGGCTTCGCTTTCCTGGTGGACTTTTGGCCTGACCCTTCCTCGGGTATAGCATTTCCCCGGAGGATCTTGCCCAGCGGGTGAACCTCTTCCGTACGGGCTACCAGCTGGGCCTGGCCGCTTGCCCATGTCCGGCCATCACCGTTACCCCGCCCAGTGGCGTGGCTTTGGCTGGGGACTTTTCCACGGCCAAGCCCCTTGGCCAACAATCTGCCAACACCAAGACCGCTGGCGGTCTGCCGGAGCTGCTGACTCCCGAGAGCCAATCCATCTTGATCAGCGATGCTGACGAAGACCCGGACCCCATTTGTCTGGAGGAGGCGCGCAATCTCTTCCTCCCGCGTGGACAGCTGTCGGCTCAGCTGCGCGAGCGTGTGGCTCTCTCGGATGACACGGCCCGCCAGCGGCAGCTGCTCCTGCGCCGGGAGCGTGCCGAGCGCCGGCGCCTTCGCCGGCTCTACGCCACCAGCAAGCTGCGGAGCCCCTTCTTCACATGCCCAACTGTCTCGCAACTCGACTGGGACAAGGAGGATGACTTGACCGAGGCCGAGGCCGAGGCCGAGGCCGATGCCCATGAGTCGAAATCGAGCTCGGGATCCGATGCGTCCAGTGGGGACGATCAGAATCGTGCTTCCCGCGACGTGGTCACCCGCCTCCGGCACATGCCCCAGCGCCCGAAGGAGATTTCCTTCTACGAGTTGTCGGGCAATGAGTCGGATTCCGATTCTTCGGCTTCGGATGACCAGTCCGCCCCGGGCTCCAGCAATGCCGTCCGCCATGCATTGTCCGTGGCCTCCATGCTTGGCGGACACTCCGAGGCCGACATTGACCGGTTCTCCGAGCGCATGGCCTCGGCCTCCGGGGCGACGGGCACCGCCACACGCCCGGATGTCGACGAAGATCCGGAGGACGAGGATGACGCGTATACTCGGCTGATGGATGGCAGCCTGTCGCATGGGGATGATGATTACAGGGATCTCTCCGACGAGGATGACGATGATGGTGATGACGATCCGGACGTCGGCCTGGAGGATGACAGCACCGATAGCGATGAGTATGATGATGCTCTGGAGTACCATGATGGTGATGGCCTGACGGAGGAACCGTACACAACCCTGTCCGAGCGCCGGGCATACCGGACGGACTTGCGTCGGGAGAAGCGCACTCGCGAGCGGAAGGCCGATCGGTCGCTCTTCCGCCAGATGCGCAAGCAGAAGATTGCCCAGAAGTTTGAGCGCCGAATGGCCGGCAACCACCTCCATGACCCGAGCCAGCTGCCGAATCGGCCTCCTCGCCACCACCATCACCACCAGCAGCATGGGGGTGGCCATCGCCAGGCCGGCCCTCGGGGGGGCGCCGCTCCTCCGCCCCGGAAGAAGATCAAGACCACGGTTTGGATCTGAAAGCGGCATATCAGCTCCGGCGAAACATGCATCCTTCGGCCATGCATCTTGCCTCTATACTCAGTGTGCCAACATGTTGTCATATTCCCCCAGCGGAGCCCCAGGCACACACACACACACGCGCGCGCGCGCGCGCGCACACGGGTCCCGCATCATAATACACATCCATAGAGTGACGGAACAGCGGGTCGCCAGACACATGGCAGGCGAGAAAGAAGGAGGGGCGAGACAAACCACAGGCAAGGCAGGGAGCCACGGGTCCGACACATCGCGCTGGCAGAAACCGGCAGAGAATCTCTCTCTCTCTCTCACTCACTCTCTCTCTCCCTCTCTCTCTCTCTCGAAAAAGGGGGGGGGGATGGCAAAAGTCCCCGCCGCAGATGGGCTGTATATTGGGACATTTCAAAAGGGGGATACACAAGGGGGGGGGGGGGGGAGAAAGGGCATGCGAGGAAGCGCAGGCCGGATGGAGCAGCAGGGGAGGGGTGTCTTTCTCTCGGAGGGTATTTCCTTCACATCCTCTCGGGCCGCAGTTTGTCTCACACGGTGTGAACGACATCATGAAGGGAGGGGGGGGGGGGGATTGCCCTCAGTAGTGGGTGCCAGTACCAGCGGTGGTCGGGGGGCCCCCGCGCGCGGGGGAGCCCATGGTGGAGGCCATCTGGCCGATGCCATTGAGAGTGGTGTTGGCGCGGGCCCGCTGGACCGCCTCATGCCGGGCCAGGCCGAGGGCGGACTCGCGGGACCCGGCACGCAGCGGATCCGCCGCGGTGACCCAAGCGTCGGACGTCGTGGCGTCGAGGCTGCGCGCAATGACCCGGACGTCCGACCGGCCGGGCTCGTGCTGCTGCGGAACCGCCGCATCAACGCCGGCAACCCCCGCCGGAATGAGGAAGCCCGATCCGCCGGCCGAACCGCCAGAGCTCCTGGACTCCGAAGGGGCAGCATGCAGGACAAAGACATCCGCCGGCCCGGGGGCCAGGGGACCGGCCAAACTGGCCATCGCCGTGGGCAGAGCCGCTGCCGGCAGCGGCCAGTAGTCGGCGATCGTGTGCGACACCAGGATGGCCGCCGATTCCGACGCGTCACCAGCATTGGTGTAGGTCAGGAGATACGGCCGACGGAGGACCGCGTACCGGCGGACCCACTGGAAGGCCGGAGCCCCTGGAGCATCTGGCCCCGGGACCAACAGGTTCAAGTAGCCCTGGCAGGTGGCGCGATCAAGCTTGGCCGTCTCCACCAGATCGGAGTAGATGGCGAAGCCCAGTGTCCCGGGCTGCGACAGCTCACCGGTGTCGGCGTCGGCGTCGGCGCCGGCGCCGGCGCCGGCTTCGGCGGTGTCACTCATTTCGACCCCATCGGCTTGGATGCCGAGGTTGGGGTCGACGTCGGCGCCCGCATCGACAGTGTCCTCGCTCTTGGCGGGGGATTCCCCCTCGGAGGCCGATCCGGCGACAGACTCCGCCGATCCGGAGGCCGGATCGGCAGAGCTGTCCGACATCCGGCCAGCTCGGTGTGCCAGCAGCGCGACCACACGCGCCAGGATACGCTGCTGGCGCTCCTCCTGGGTCTCGGTCGAAGCGGGGCCGGCGACCGGCGGCTCGATGTCATCCGCTTCCAGCATCTGCTCGAGCTGGTCCATTTGATCTTGCTCCAGCGAGGTCAGCAGCTGGCGAGTGCGCTCAGCCGCCGCGGCGGCCTTGGCCCGGACACGCAGGCGCTGAGACAAATCCACCAGCTCCGCGCTCAGTGGCTTCCACCAGCCCTGGAGGACCTCCTCACCGCGGACATATGGCCGGCTGGGGTCGCCAGCGCGGGCGCCGCGAGCTCCGGCACCGGCCCCCGGGCCCCCCGCCGACATGCTGGCCGCATCGACTGCCCCAAGGCGAGAGGTCTCATCGAAGGCCAGGCACCGTGGCCGGGCCAAGATGGAGCTCGGGCCGGCCCCGAGGGCCGAATAATGCGGACCAGCCGACGCCGAGGCCGACGTCACGAGGGTATTCCCCGTGCCGAAGGGGGACGCCAGCACCGGCGGCCGGGCCACCAGCTCCCGGCTATTGAGAGGCATGTGCAGCAGCGCCAACTCATAAAGCCCGGTAACCCGGGAGGCGGTCCGGCTGGCCGGGGCTCCGAGCTCGGCCGAGGCGGCGGCCGCCGCCTGGCCCGACGCCGAGGCGGCCTCCCCGCCGCCGGAGCCACTGAAGAGATCCGAGAAGAAGGACCGCGCACGGCTGGCCACATGTGCCGCACGCGGCGATGCCAACAGCGACCCCAGCAGGCCCGCCGACGGGGGAGGCGGGGTGCGCAGGACCGCCGCATCACGCGGATACACACGGAACAGCAGCTCCTTCGACAGGGTGAGCGGGCCACGGGGCAGGTGGATGCTCGGCTGCCCGGGGCCGACTTCCACCTGGGACGGACCCCCCGGCGTGCCCGGGGCGCCGATCAAGTGGAGGCTGACATTCAACTGGACGGAGGCCAGCTCCGTCGGCTCCAGGGCAATGCGACTCAGCACGCGAGAGTCATGAAGCGCCGAGGCCCAGGACAGGGTGGCCGAGGCGCAAGTCGGCCCGCCTGGGCGTCCAGCTCCAGGGCTGGCCCCCGGCGACTCGGGCGCCACCGACTGCAGATCGATGGCAGTGGCAGACCCGACGGCGGCGCCATCGCCGCTGGAAGCGGCCCCGGGCGCCAGGGACCGGATCCGGTTGACATTCACCGAGCCGATGGCCACATGGAAGGGGATGCGCTGGGGGGCCGGACCATCGGCCGGATCGGCCGGCACGTCTCCGAGAGCCAGCGACCGAAGCAACACCGGCCCGGTGGGGCCAACCACCGCCACATACAGGCGCAGGCGGCGCTGGACACCCTGGCGGACGAGGAAGATGCCGCGAGTGGCAGACTCGCGCCCGGCCACCGCGGCCGCGGTCACGGGCCCCCGAGGGTCGGCCTCGCCCTCCACCTGGGCCAGGGTATGCGGCTCCATGGACACCGGCACCGAGGCATAGTCTCCCGTCCAGTCCTGCTCCAGGACCTCAACCCAAAGCAGCAGCGTATGGTAGGAGGCCGCCGAGAGCAGGGCCCCGGCCGGCAGAGGACGCGGGGTGTCGGGCGCCGCCGCCGCCGCCGAGGTGGGACTAACCGGCACGGCCGGGGCCGCAGGCGTCACGCCGAGCTGGCGCACCAGCTGCGCATGGTTGTACTTGATCGGCGTTTGCAGATGCCCGAAGAGATCCACCTCGATGGCACCCCCGGCCAGGGGGGACCCGCTCTGCAACAGGGCCAGCCCCTCGGCCAAGGACGCCGACATCGGGCCCAGATCCAGATACCGGACCCAGGCGGGAGCCGCGCCGTCGTCGGCGCCGGACCCCACGCCGGGTCCCGCCTCCTGCAGCGGCCGCAGCGGGATGACCCCGGGCGGCGTGGCCAGGACCGTCTGGCCGAAGCGCAGATTCAGATAGGCCTCCGTCGGCGGAGACACCTGGCCATGCTGGTTGTAGAGCGAGGCAAACTGGTCCGCCGGGTGGACGCCCTCCAGGTCGAGGACAATGTCGCTGACCGACAGACGAAGGAGAACCGGCTCATCGGCGGCCGGGCCGCTGGCTGACAGCGCCCGAGCCACGAGACCACGCTGCAGCGAGGCACCGGCCACATCCTCATCCTTGCCGGAGAGGGTGGCAGGGGCGGCAGGCGCGCCGGGCTCACCAGCGAAGCCAAGCTCCGCCCGCACCGGCAACATGTCGGCATCGGCCGATGTGGCTGGCGGCAGGCCATCCGGCGACACACGGTGCAGGGCAACCCGGACGAAGCCCACCACTCGGCCATGCTCATCGAAGAGCGACACCTCGGTGTCCAGCAGGAGCAGATCATCCGCCTCGCCCGCGGCCCAGGCCATGTGCGTCGAGAGAACACGCCACAGGTACAGGTGGCCGGAGCCCAGGCGACTGAACCAAGACCCGGAGGCGGAGAAGGGATCGTGCATGGCGGGCCCGCCGGCACGACCGACAGGACCACGCGACAGGGCCAGCTGACGCGGGGTCAGGCCGGGGCCCGGGGCCGGGCCGGCGGCGGGCCCGGCCAGACGGGCCAATTGCCGGTTCGAAGCATCCAGACCCGCGGCGCCGGCAGTGCCGCCGCCCGATGCGCGAGCCATCTGCGTGATGAAGATCGTGAAGGAGGTCGGATCTTGGAAGATATCCCGCATGGCATGCAGGCTCATCAGGAACTTGTCCTCCGACCAAAGGTGCACCTGGCCCAGGCGCGAATCGTACACCCGGATGGCCAGCTCCGGCGACGGGAGCACCGGGAGATGCGACTCACTGGAGGGCTCACTGGTGGCCCCGGCGGCGGCCTGGGCCAACAGGCGGCCGGCCTGCTCCCACGGGCTGCCCACATCCCCAGCCAAGCCGGCATCATGCGCCGGGGTGGAGAATGGCGAGCCCGGGTCCGAGATGACAAACTGCAGGGCCACACCGCGATTCAGCTCAGCCGAGATGACATTCGCCTCGGTCAGCATCGGGGTCAATTGGGCCATGCGCCGGCGGAGAGTCGACCGCCGACAGGCCTTCCAAACGACCAGGGCCCGCCGGGCCAGGGCCGCCTGCTCCGGCGACAAGGGCGGCTCGGCCGGGGGCTCCTCCGCCGGGGAAGAGGTGCCGTTGGTGGCCGCGGCCGCGGCGGCCGCGCGCAGCGCCGAGTTCGAGCTCTCGATTTCCTGCATCCGAGCTTGAACCTCGGCCACCTGGGCGGCCACGGCCTGGCGCTCGGACTCGAGACGCTCCTCCTCGGCGCGAATGCGCGCCTCACGCTCGGCCGACACCGCCTCCACGGCGGCCATCTGCTCGGACAGCTGCTGCTGGCGCAGCTCCTCCAGGGCAAAGGCCCAGTCGGCGATCGGCTGCTGCGCCGCCTCCCCCGAGGAGGGGGACTCGCCCTCGGTGGCCGCCGTGGTGGTGGACGCCGCCGCCGACTCACGCTGCGCGCGAACCTCAATCGGGTTGGTGAAGCGGAAGACATAGTGCAAGCCGAAGATCAGCCGATCGCCGGACTTCAACAAGACACCCATCGGGCCGGGCTGCTTGGCAGCGTCAACCGCGGGAGGAGCCTCCTCGGTGGCATCGGCCGCCGCGGGAGGGCTCGCCTCTGAGGCCGCGTCATCGGGCTCAGCCTTGGTGGCACCATCGTCGCCGGCCTCCGGGGCAGCGGCTGCCGAAGCGCCGGCCCCGGGCGCGGAACTCGAGGCACCATCCTCCGCGGCCAAGGGCTTGCCATTGATGTAAACAGGCGCATCCGGGCTCGCCAGGCGCAGGCGCACCGAGAGACCATCCTCGCTGGTCTCGAAAATGCAGTGTTCCTTGAGCATCCGGGCGCCACCGAGAACAATGTGCGCTGGGCGCTCCTGTCGAAGGGGGAAAGAGGGAGGAGGAAGAGAGGAGGTGAGAAAAGCCGAGAAGGTATGAAAGGGAGCGGGGGGGGGGGGGGCGGTGGTAAGTGAGTTGCAACACGCACCGAGCCCACGAGCGTGGTGCCACCCAGGCGCAAGTTATACAGGAGACACTCGTTCATCAGGGGGTCCTCATTGAGATTGACCAGATGCGGCTGGAGTCGAGGGGCCGACACCTCGGCCAAGCCGGGCGATCCCTCGGCCGGCGAGGCGGGGCCCAGGGACACACCCATGTCGGCCAGCGCCTCGGCGCGGGACCGGGCCACGGCCTCGGTGCGCTCACGCTTCGTCTCAACAGACTCGCTCAGCTCCTCGACCAGACGCTCGGAGGCGCGGATCTGCGCGGCAATGTCTGCCGGGCGAGAAGGGAAGAAAGAAAAGGACGGAACTGAGTCAGCAACCAACACATGCACCGCCGGAACCACCTGAAGCGCAGTGCCAAAGGCAGAGATGAGGAGGGGGGAAGGGATGGGCGGGGGGGGGGGGGGAATGAAAAGTCTCCCTTGTGAACATACCACGATCGGAGCCAGATGCCAGAAGAGCCGAGGGCGAAGTCATCAGGCCGTCGGCCAGCTGACCCGAGGAGGGAGAGGGCGACACCGGGCCGCCGGCTGAGGCCTCCGATGCCGAGGTAGCGGTGGCAATGGTTGCCGGCTTGGCGGCGGGCGAGGCAACTCCGGGAGCAGGCTTGGCCGGGCTGGCAACCACCGGCAGCTCGATGCCGTGGGACATTAGGTGCGCGCGCAGGCGGGCCACCTCCTCCCGCAGCTCACGAATCATTCGAGCATTCTGGTCCTCGTTGACAGTGGCCTTGTTGACAATGCGCTTGGCGCGGTCGGCGTAGCTACACAAAAGAGGGTCGAGGCAAAGGGGCAGGGGAGGCGGGG